TTTGTTTGTAACGTTTTATTGATACAATTTATCAAAAACCACCAATGAAAAAAGTTGTAGAACGTTTAAAAACCTTTACAAAAATACCAAATTCGATATGTTTTACTCAAAAGATTACGTCAAGAAACTAGATAAATCTCATAAAAACACCAATTTTGGCGCAAAAAGGCCTATTAGTCCGGCATCTAGGGCAGTTCGCAAGTCTTATAAAGACAGTTTTACCATTCAATGTTGATGTATGTGTCTAAATAAGTGTTTTCAACTCGGGTGTCACGTCTGCACCCACTGCAGTTTCCGGTTATGACGTCATTAAAATGGCGGAAAGGGCTATATTAAAAATAACTATATTTTACATACCATGCATCGGATCGGAATGAACTTTTGTTTGTTTGAAAGATAAGTTTACATGATATCTTTCTTATATTTACACTTTTGATGTATGTTTAGTACATTTTTCGTAATTTTGCAAAAACCTATATTTTTAAACATTTTTGTGTTATTTTTGTCGATAACGTTTTATTGATACAATATATCAGAAATAACTTAATGACAAAGTTGTAGCACGTTAAACGAGCTTTACAAAAATACCAAATTCGATATGCTTTACTCAAAGGATCACGTCAAGAAACTAGAAAAATCGTACAAAACAACCTAATTCGGCGCAAAAACCCATATAAATCCGACATCGATGGCTGTGTACGAGTCATATATAGACAGTTTTACCATTCAATGTTGATGTATGTGTCTAAAGAAGTGTTTTTAAGTGCCTGGATTGATTTTCAATTAATCTATTAAATTAACATTAAGAGTAGGTACCTATGTTTTTTGAACGGTAAAAGTGTTTTTGAACGGTTATTGGTTACTGAGAAAATAAAAACATTTTTCATTTAAAACTCCAATGTTATTCTTATGGACAACATTGTAACTGTAGTAGTTGGCTTGTTTATGGATATATTTTGATCGAACTTGGCAGATTTATTTATCCAGTACTAAGCTATTAATATTTTAATAAAAAATCCACTTTATTAGTTTCCCTTAAGCAGCAAACCTATGTATTCTTAAACAATGTTAATTTAATAGATTAATTGAAAATCAATCCTGGTAAATGGAAATTCGCTTAGTCGACAGGATTGCTGCACCGGGGTATTTATATAGTGGAAACATTCTTATGGACTAATTACATTGATTTGTTGTGCTTTTATTTGCATAAAAGAAGGTAATGGTCTTATTTTAAGTAAAATAGTTGGTGAAATCTTAACATGTAGCAATTTTAAAGACATCATAACCGGAAACTGCAGTGGGTCCAGACGTGACACCCGAGTTAAAAACACTTCTTTAGACACATACATCAACATTGAATGGTAAAACTGTCTATATATGACTCGTACACAGCCATCGATGTCGGATTTATATGAGTTTTTGCGCCGAATTAGGTTGTTTTGTACGATTTTTCTAGTTTCTTGACGTGATTCTTTGAGTAAAGCATACGTAAAGCCAGAAGTACGAAAAACAAAACTTGCTGATAATCAAAATTAAATGTTTAATATGAAACGTCATTTAACAATACATCAATATAAATCTAACTAATGGACGAATTAGAAGTTTTTTTTAATTTACAATTCAGAATCTGTATTGTCAGCCAATATGTGTGCTCAGTATTGCAATAGACAACGTCTTCAAAACGTACAACAATATAGGCCTACTCGGTGAATTACTCTACTCCAACACAGTACCCAACACAGTAATATACTGTACAATATATTAGGTGGCGTTAATTTTTACAGGGCTTAAGAATTCAAACAGCTTTAAGTGCATTAATAATACTTTGGCAAAAAGTATGCCTATTGTTTCACAATAGGCAGAGTCACGAAATAAGACAGACTTGTTGCTCGCCACTCCCAGGCTGCCTTCTACAAAAATCGCCGGGCAAAATACCCACAATATCTCTTAATAATTGCCACCAGTACAAAAGGTTTTTGTGACAAAGTAATCTTATAATTCATTTTGAAAGCCCCAGGATTGCCTTTTATGACTAATAATGGTAGAAACGCATCTTGTCAGACAATCCGTTTGTACACAAAACAGGAAACGATAACAGATAGGCCTATCAATTCACGCGTGTATATATTGCCGCGGGCAGGACTGGAAGTAAACTGAATCAGGTAATGACGGAAAGACGTGGTCTCTGGATTGGTGTTTGTGTTATCAAAAGCTGAAATTGGACTAATTCTATTGACGGAGGAGAGTGTTGAAAATATAATGGGATTCATAATTGATTTTTCCATTCAAAATTATTGACAATAATAACCAATTGATATGCTGGATAGTCTCGACATTCCACATTACTTCAGAAAAGGAAATTTATTAAGTACTTTGAGGAGTTTGAAATATACATAAAACTATTGACAGCACAAAATTGTTTAGTGAAAACACTCAATTAATTATGAATCCAATAATATATATTGCAATACTCATATTTGCAAATATGCTTATATTTTCAATACTCTTCTCAGTCACTACAACAGTCCAATATCAGCTGTTGAAAACGCAGACGACAATCCAGAGACCACGTCGGTCTGTCATAACCTGAACCTGATTCAGTTTACTTTACTTACTTCCAGTCCTGCCGACGGCAATGTACGAATTGACAGGCCTATCTGTAATCGTTTCGTGTTTTGTATTAAATGTTTGTCGTATTCTGACGACACCTCCAGAAGTGGATCTTTTTTAAATCCTGATGATGGTGGAGTTAAAGAGCCACCAAAACATATGTAGCAAGTAAAATTCGACACTGGTATATTAAGGATTGTCTAGCAAGGTCCGTTTTTACCATTCTTAGAAGCTATCTTAGTTACGAACGGCAAAATGTTGTTGGTGGTGATAGTAAACTGCTTAGAAACACTTTTTCGGGCTGCTTATACAAAATTATACATTCATTATGACAGCTAGCAAAAAAATATCCCCTCCAAAAATCTCAAAATAAGTCCCCCCCCCCCAAAAATTCCTATGGCGCAAACGCGCCACAGTACCCCCCCTCTGGGCACCCCTGAGTTTGACCATAGACTGCAGGACTTATTTATTCCAGAGCAAAGCCGGAATTCTATATTTTTATCTAAACATCTGTTAAATATATCTGTTTCTTAATTAAATAAAGAGTTCCCTATCAAGACTTGACAACAAATTGTTTGTAAATAGTTGAATGTATTTACCTTACATCATATTTTACTGAATTTTCGTGTTGTTTTGGTTACAGTTTGGTGTGATGACATGAATGTTTGAAAATGATTATTTCCAGTGCAGTTACATCACAATATCATGTAATTTACAATGTGTATAACAATTCCGTTGTAGTGTTTTCTGTTGTTTTGTTAACTTTCGTAATCCATCTAAATTTAAAATAATATGCTACCAGTAAGACGAAGACTGTGAGTGGCTGGAGGAAACGTGAACGTGGCCGCTTGCATCAATCTCCCAATGTATCATTTGAAGATTACAGAGTGGCAACCATCGTGTGGGATACGTCTAACCTTGACAAATGAACTTTAAATGTTTACATTGTGGTGGCTTACATTTTAAGCAAAAAAAAAAGAGTCTGGCCGATACAGATAAATTATTATTACTCTTTGTTGCCATAAATGAGAGAACCATTTACCTCATCTGCGGAATTCACCATACTTTCAGGAACTTATTGGAAACTCCCAATCTGAAATCAGGGCTGTGAGACTTGGATCTAGAAATTATTAGGATAAAATTTGTCAATTCAATTCCGCCTTTGCCATGGTCAGCTCTGAAGCTCATTTAGATGAGAGGATCATACCTAGGGGATCTACAATTTCAAGATCCATGACACTTGAAGAAAGGAAAGATTCAATGATAAAATTTGGGAAATAGGGTCACATTGCCAACCCATTTGCCCAATCTTTTAAAACTGTGGCAGAAATGTGTAGGGACGAGAGCTCCAAGGAGTTAAGGGAGATTCTTATGTAAATAATAAGAGACAAAATAATTGGCTTTCCTCGCTACAATGATGCGACCTGTATAAATGTCGCCGCTATTTTTAAAGCTGAAAACAGAGGACCACCAGACAAAAGTCATCAGTCATATACTTTAGAATTACTCTTTGATTGAGGTCTTGCTGTTTATGTTTTTAGTTGTTTATTTTTTTTTATTACAAGTTGCAGTTTTGCTCGATTTTGAGCAACAGGTTATCTAGTTATTAGTAAATCAGCTGATCGCCCAATGCAAATCTAATGGAAATTACAAGTTACAAGTTGTAACTTGTAACTTGTAGCTTATTATGAAATGGGCCCCAGGTATAATTGAAATAAATTACAATATAGTTCAGTGTTTTAAAATGATTTTTAACTATTTATTTTCTTGTTGTCTTTGTTATATTTAGTGAAGATTCCATGTTATAGACCATATTACACTATTTAGAATCTATGGCCCTTTTTGGCACCTTTTTTTGTTGACGAGGTCTATTGTAACATCTGTTATTTAATGACCAATAAAGATTTATTTATTTATTTATATTGCTTTTACACTTTTACGTTTTTACACTTTTTCGGTCCCCCGGTACTTTTATTTAAAAAGGGAAGAAATCTGACATTTTCAAAGAAATCTTTTGGCAAAAATCAAATAACGCAAATGGAAAATTGCTTAGTCTGCAGGTTTGCTGTGGTGGGTGTTTCATTCATATTTTTCCAGTTGCAAGATCTTGAAATGTTTTTGAGCTAGGCTACCTGCTTTTATGTCCTTTGTCCTACCAAAAAACAGTGCCGTGCAGTGAGGCTTGTGTTGTGCCTTTGTCCTTGAAGAAGTTTACATGTTAATTTAAACAAATATTATTGTATGTGCCTCCCTAAACACTAATCACTCAACACTATATATTTAGCACCTTAATTTTATTTTTAAAGTACCATTCTCTATAGGTTTCATCATTCATGTTAATAAATTTCCAAATCCTTATAGAAGATGTTGTTTGTTTGTTTGATTTACAGTTCATCAAGAGAGTTAGCAGTTCAGAGTTCCAGCCGGGCTGGTGTTTGACCAACCAGGGACCATTGCTGGTTATGGCTGTCAACCGTTCTAGAGACATACTTGTGGGCTGGTCTCAAAATGTAACTAAATACAACCATAGTATTCTAAATTAGATCAAGAAAATCATAAACTCCCAATACCTTTTTGGAATACTTGTTATGTTTTTATTTCTGTGAAGAGATTTAACAATTTGTATACATTTACTGTTTGTACAGGAAAACCAGTGGCGTAAATAAGACCCCTGCAACCCCCCCAGTGCGGAGCGGTGTCAAATTCAAATTCAAATTCAAATAGTTTATTGCCATTAAGTATACATGTCATACAATAGGCCAGGTCAATGGAGATAAAATACAATTCAAAGTACAATGTACAGAGTCAAGTGTAAATAGATGAACATGCTAATAAACTAATAATACTGGGTTTTTGTACAAAAGTATTTGAGATGTATTGATAATGATGATAATAATACTGTTTATAGTTAAGCAAACAAGTTGGGTAAGTGCCTATAACAAAATAATTAAGGCTAAAATTGGCAGTGAGATACAGCTTAAAACTAAATAACAATCAAGGTCCGATTTTCGCCACTCACCGCAATCGTGGAAAAAGATGATGCTGTTTCGATGACCGCGGGAAATGAACATGATGTCTTTAAGACCAAAGAATATATTCATGATTTTACCGCAATCGCGGAAAAAGATTACGCCGTTTCCGTGACCGTGGAGAAGAAGATGATGTCCACAAGACTGAAGAAGATATCCATGATTTTGCCGCAATTGCGGAAAAAGGTCGTCGTTTCCGTGACCGTGGGGACGAAGATGATGACTACAACACTGAAGAAGATCTTCATGATTTTGCCGCAATCACAGAAAAAGATTACATTGTTTCCGACCCTGCGGGAGACAAACATGATATCTTCAAGACCAAAGAATATATTCATGATTTTACCGCAAGCGCGGAAAAATGAAACGTCGTTTCCGTGACCGCAGGAGACAAAGATGAAATGAAAAAAGTCGTTTATTTTTTCAGGCAAAGAAAAACCCACATGGTCCTTTCTTACACTTAACCTGACATTCATAAATGTATAGAAATAACTATACAATGGGATTACTTAATCTAATTGAACATAAACATAATTAACAATTTAAGTACATTTCTCAGAAAAATGAAGAAAAAACATGCAAGTTTGACAAAAAAAAAAACACATTTACACACCCTCGCAATCGCAGACACCAGCAAACGCGCAAAGAAACAGTAGCTCTAAGACACGCCAGCCGAGACCATCTACTCATAGTTGAGCTTCTTCGGTGCCACCTCAAACTAGGAATGGTTTTCAAGTGTCTTAATGTGCAGGGGTAGGCTGTTCCACAGACGACAAGCGGTAACAACAAAAGCACTGTCATAAGCCTTGGTCACATGATGAGGTATACGCAATTTGATGGAAGAAGAACGAGACATTCATGAACTACCCTGAGACACAAATTTAAAATCGGATTTGAAATATTTTGGGGAACCTGTTTTCTAAATTGAAAAAAACTAATGACAAAATTTTAATGAATCTTTGATAGTTTAATTTCAGGATGTTTGCCTCAAGATAGTATGGCGTGATTTGCTCCATATTTTGCAGACCATAGACAAATCTCAAACAGTAATTCTGTGACCGCTGGAGCATACCTGCCTGAGTCACAGTCAAGTCATTGATCAATGAGTTGCAGTAACTGAAGTGGGGTAGTACCAGCGAACACATAACAAAATAGAAGCACTACTCGGAGCGCAGGAGCGTGGCAGTCTGACTAGCCGACGAAACGGACAAAGATGGCGGCGCTAGCCTAGTCCCGGCGTCTGCAACGCGCTGGTCGTCTGCTATGCTTCGAGTCAGTGTTGTTTACATAGGCTTTGTTTAAATGTAAAAATACTTTTGTATAAAAATTACTTAGGTTTTTCTGGAAGTACATTGTCGTATTAGTATATTGTTGGAAATGTCTTAATCAATTGTTTTTACCGTAGTAAATTGATTTTTTTTTTATCGCGGGAGAAATTTTTGTTCACAAATATATATCTGTTTAAAAAACATCTTTGTTCACATTATAAATCTGTCATATTGGTGTTATTTTATTTCTTGTGTCACGACAAACACGATGGCATTTTGAACGACATTTTTAGCGTCTTATTAACGATGTTAGCATACGTTTTAAAAATAAACATCACCATAAAGACTATTGTGAGTAAAAATTTTAAAATGCATGGAACTGTTAACAATAAACCTACCAATAAGCCATAACAATTTCAGAAAGATTGGCTGAGTAGTTTGTTTACTATTAAATTTTAAACTTCAGTTTTAGTGCAGAGTTTCTTAAAAATCGGTACTTTTTAGGATCTTTCAACTATATAAATTTTTCTGGTAAACGGATTTTTTTTAATTGTTACCACGTAAAATGTATTTAAACCAGATTATATTAAATTTTTGTCTCACCAAAATCTGATAATTCATCTCAAGAGATATTTAGGCTCAAACTCGAGTGCACATATTTATTTCCCCGACAGTAGTTCCGGCGTGTGAAGCGCGCTAGTCGTCTGCTATGCTTGATGAGAATAGTGTGGATATAAAGTTAATGATACTGTATTAGTGTAAAGGAAAACAATGTAATTGAGGACTTGACGAACAGAGTACTTGGACAATGTGTAGGTGTAAATTTGTTTCCAAATAGTACACATTTCTCAGGATATGAAACAATATGGACAAAAATCATTTTTGTTTAGTACCTAATTAAAATTATTGCTCAAAAATATTTCAATGTTAGAGTTCCCTACTGTAAAATAAGTGACGAAAGTCTTCACAAAAATAAAATCAGGCAACATCTCAATAAAACTGTAATTTTTCTGGGACAATAAATTGAGTGTAATTTTACAAATATATTTGGGAAGTTTAATTTAACTTACAGAATTATCTTTAGTTTATCTTGGATGATATTGAAAGCTAATTAGTCCTTAAAAAGTTGTGCTAAACGGTTGAAAATTCTACATAGACAATATATTTGAAAATTGCTTTAATATATACAATATTACAGTACAACAGCATAAAACATTAAAACACTGCACGCTAAATGTATAGAAGACGGCCGGCGGCGCAGCGGGCGTGGCGCGGCCGTGGCAGCGGCAATGGATCCCTTTTGTACCTGATTATTTAGAAAACCGATCATGATACAAATTTTTGGTGAATCGCATAGTTAAATTTGATTATTTATCCACAACTTTCCCGCTGACAAAATTTCTCTGACCAAAAAATAAAAAATTTCCTCGCAATACAACTTTTTCATGTCTGAATTTGAAAAATTAAACTACATAAGTATTAAACATATTTATAACTCAATTACTATCATAACTAATAATTTTATATTAACACCATCGTTTTCCTCAGTGTCATATCTACAAGTGTGCAAAATTTCAGAATTTTTTGTCAACTATTAATGTTGTTTATTATCGTGTATTTGTCGCGGGGTTTTTAATGCGAACTGAGCTCGCGGGTTTTGGATTCAGGCTGTATGACGGACCAAGATGGCGGATTTGGCCACACTTTCAGTGCATTTGGTTAAACGCCGTGTCCTCTCTATTATTATTATTATTATGTGCTCGCTGGGTAGTACAAGTGATTTGGTCAAATGTAGTTTAGTGTGTTGTGTGTTGTGGTAAAAAATTCTGTCCGTAACTTCTATGTCCCAAGTAAGTGAAGAGTTGAAAGATATGTCAAGATTCTTTACATTGTCGTAGTATGGAAGTGCTTTGCTACTAACTGTGATTGGGTTTATGGAGTCTAAGTCAATTGAAGATTGAAGTCGAGAATGGAAAATGACAATCGGTTTTGTCTTTTCGTGATTTAGTCTCAGTCCATGATTCTATTCAGTCCAAGTAACTATTCGGTTGACATCTTCATTGATCCTTCTGACACAGTCGTTTTTGTTGTTTGCAGTAAAATGGTCATAGATTTGTAAGTCGTCAGCGTACATGTGGTGTTTACTAGTGATGGTTCTATCCGGATATCGGACTACCGGATCAGCCAGATCTGAGCTAGAACCGACGCCCGATCGGATTCACCAAAAATCGGATCTTGGGCCAGCCAAAAAAAAAAAAAAAACAATGTATCCATTAAAACCAGATCAAGATCTGGTTTTAATGGATACATTTTTTTGGTTTTTTTTCAAATTCTATTAACACAAAACGTCTTTTATACAGTTGTAAAAAATTGTATATAAAGAGCAATTCATACATAAGAACAGGTGTTTTGTCATAGTGGTGTATTTTAAAATAAAATTATAGTGACTATCTGTATCCATGTTCAAGACTATCTGCACGGCCTCCTTTAACTACAGACCGCGGCCAGCGAGAATTGGCAACGTCGCACCGAGCAGTAACTCCCGGCCATTTCACCATTACGGTAGTACGGAACTAGTGGTTGCGGTTTAAATATATTGCATTTTTACACCCTTACAATTGAGATAAAATTTTTGAAATTTGGTACAGAGCTAGGGAATAAACTTTTCATGCCAATGGTACGGTTTTGAAAATTAAAATTTCATTTGGCAGTATATATAAATATTTTTAAAATTAACACATTAAAAAAGTTTGGAAAAGTTAAGTGAAAAAGTTAGTTGCCTACTAAAATTGTTGTTTGTTGGTCAGTGAAGTTTCATCTGTGAGAAAGTTGTAGATAATTAAATATACTGCTTTACTGTTTGTATTTAACTTTTCTTATCATGCTTAGTTTTGTTAAAATTTTGGGTTGAACAGAGCGACCAAATCTCAGTTTTATGTCGCGGCGCGGCGAGTAGCGCTGCCCGCAAGGTGTAGTGTAGTATCGCATAGCTATTAATTAATTTATGCCAACTGAATTATTTCAAGCAAGTTGATATGCATTTAGTTATCCTAAAGAATATTACTTTTGTATGAAACATTGCTTTAATATACACACATTTCCAACCAGTACAGAAGTTATAACTGAAAGCTCTACCTGAGTTCCTTATATTTTTCCGTAATAAGTAATATTATTACAGCCAACAGCACAGCATTGAATGCATTTTGAAGACAGGTTAACTATTTACTACAATCCAACCAACAAGTTTACACGGTGCACACTGCACGACTTAATGTCTTCATAACTAGGTGGTGTTCCACAAAATCGAGCGGAGTCATCAAGGGTTCAAATTATATTGTTTTTGTCATACTGCAGTAAAAACAATAGTTTTTAATGCATGCATTGTGGGTCTAAAGTATCATTTTTACTCTTTAGGGAGTAAAAATCGCTTTTAGCCTCTATGGAGTAAAAAGCAGCTGTTGTCAAATCAGTTGTAAATTACTATTGTAAACGATTGCATGTATCGAAAATATGTAATGATTCGTGCTTCGTAATCATTTTAACCTACATACTACAGTCTCTTCCCATAGCATTTTAGCATTGCAGATACATTAATCTATTCCCACACACAACACTGCTCACCTTGACTACTTCCTTCACCACCCCCTACGTCGTGGACCTGTTTCCCTCTCTTCCCATATCATTATGATTGCAGATACATTAATGTGATTGCCAAAGACAGTTCCCACACTCTGCACTGCAAGCCATAATACTTCCTTCGCCACTTCCTACGTCGTGGGGCCTGTTTCCCTCCTTTCTCATAGCATTTTAGGATTGAGGATACATTAATCTATCTGCCACAGACGGTTCTCACACTATGCTCATACTTTACTACTTCCTAAGCCACTTCCTACATCGTGGACCTGTTTTCATCACTTTCCATAGCATTTTAGTATTTTAGATACGTTAATCTAATGCCACAAACATTCCCCACACTCTGCACTGCTAGCCTGGCCTCGTGGGCATGCTTCCATCCCTTCTCATAGCATTTCAGCATTGCAGATACATTAATCTAACTGCTACAAACGGTTTCCAGTTTCCACACTCCACACTGCTCACCTTACTACTTCCTTCACCAATTCCTACGTCTCGGACCTGTTTCGCTCCCTTCCCATAGCATTTTAGGATTGCACATCCCTTAATCTAATCGTCATAAACAGTTCCCACACTCCGGACTGGTCGAATTTACTACTTCCTTCACCACTTCCTACGTCGTCGACCGGTTTTCCTCCCTTCCCATAGCATTTTAGGGTTGCAGATACCTTAATCTAATCGTCATAAACAGTTCCACACTCCGAACAGCTCGCCTTGACTACTTCCTTCATCACTTCCTACATCGCGGACTTGTTTCCTTTCCTTCCAAAAGCATTTTAGGAATGCAGATACCTAAATCTAATCGTCATAAACAGTTTCCACACTCCAGACTGCTCACCTTTACTACTTCCTTCACCACTTCCTACGTCACGGACCTCAAGCTAGTGTCGTCATTTGATTATATTTATGTTCCATACCATTTCTGTTCTTATATCTGTGGAATAATGCTATCAGCTATTTCTTTATCTACCGCATTCAAAAGTCAACAGCTGATCATATGTCTTTGTTTATGTGTCAAATACTGCTTCCAGAAGGATTACATTGAAACTTTGAGACCCAGTGGGGCGGATTCCTGAGATACTTTTTTAACGCCATATAGATGTTGGCACTCACCGATGTGGTCTTTATCACCATGCAAAATTTGAAAACGATTGATTCAACCGTCCCAACCAGGATGAAATGTGATATTTTTATTTTAGTGTAAATCCAATCAGGCAAATGGAAATTCGCTTAGTCTGCAGGTTTGCTGCGGCGGGGGTATTTAGTTACTAAAGTATTGAGAGGACACTTCGTTACCACGACTGTAACTGTAAGATAAAAAAATTAAGTACCGGTACATTATACCGGGTGTCCAAAACCACCCGTACACCCCTTTAAAAACGAGGGAAACCTTTTCTTACAAACAAAAGATGATACAGAACTAGCTAAATTGGGCACGGTCTATCAAATGGAGATAATTTCAAATCCAAAATCACACCGGAAGTGGCTTTTTCAGACCGGAAGTTGACATTTTTAAAAATGTAAACTACCAATTTTGATTACAGAATCGTATTCTACATTGAAAAATACATAACTTTTGTCTAAAACATTATTTGAAAAAAAACTTATTTTCTGCCTATAATACCCTATTAAAGTCAACAATTTTGGGTCATTCATCTGCCAAAGTTACTTGAAACAATAATAGAGAAAAACAAATAACAAAGATTACATAAAGACATGTGATAAATAGAATCAGCTGTTCTTTGTAAACACTATAGTAATTGAATAATAGCTGGTCTACACATTGCTTAATGTAATTTTTTTTTAATAATTGGTTTTTACATGTGACCACTTTAATTTAAAATAAAATTAAAAACTAAGCAACTTCCTACGTCGTGGACCTGTTATCATCACTTTCCATATCATTTTAGTATTTTAGATACGTTAATCTAATTGCCAAAATCATTCCCCACACTCCGCACTGCTAGCCTTTACTACTTCTTTCACCATTTCCTATGTCGTGGGCATGCTTCCATCCCCTCTCATGGCATTTCAGCTTTGCAGATACATTAATCTAACTGCTACTAACGGTTTCAAGGTCCCACACTACACACTGCTTACCTTACTACTTCCTTCACCTCTTCCTACGACGCGGACCTGTTTCCCTCTCTTCCCATAGCAATTTAAGATTGTAGATACCTTAATCTAATCGTCATAAACAGTTCCCACACTCCGGACAGCTCGCCTCGACTACTTCCTTCGCCACTTCCTACGTCTCGGACCTGTTTTCCTCCCTTCCAATAGCATTTTAGGATTGCAGATCTCTTAATCTACCCGTCATAAACAGTTTCTACACTCCGGACTGCTCGCCTTTACTCCTTCCTTCACCACCTCCTACGTCACGGACCTGTTTCCCTCCCTTCCCATAGAATTTTAGGATTGCAGATAACTTAATCTAATCGCCATTAAAAGTTCCCATACTCCGGACTGCTCACCTTTACTACTTCCTTCACTACCTCCTACGTCAAGGACCTGTTTCTCTCCCTTTCCATAGCATTTTAGGATTGCAGATGCCTTAATCTAATTGTCATGAATAGTTCCCACACTCCGGACAGCTCGCCTTGACTACTTCCTTCACAACTTCCTACATCGCGGACCTGTTTTTCTCCCTTTCCATAGCATTTTAGGATTGTAGATACCTTAATCTAATCGTCATAAACAATTTCCACACTCCGGACAGCTCGCCTTAAATACTTCCTTCACCACTTCCTACGTCACGGACCTGTTTCCCTCTCTTCCCATAGAATTTTAGGAATGCAGATACCTAAATCTAATCGTCATAAACAATTTCCACATTTCAGACTGCTCACCTTTAGTACTTCCTTTAGCACTTCCTACGTCACGGACCTCAAGCTAGTGTCGTCATTTGATTATATATATGATTCATACCGTTTCTGTTCTAATATCTGTGGAATAATGCTATCAGCTATTTCTTTATCTACTGCATTCAAAAGTCAACAGCTGATCATATACCTTTGTTTATGTGTAAAATACTGCTTCCATAAGGATTACATTGAAACTTTGAGACCCAGTGGGGCGGATTCCTGAGAGACTTTTTTAACGCCATATAGATGTTGGCACTCACCGATAAGGTCTTTATCACCATGCAAAATTTGAAAACGATTGACTCAGCCGTCTAGGAGGAGTTTGCGTATTACAAAATGCATAAGAGTCGACATATAAGAGCTTTGCTCGCTTCGTTTGCTCCGCTCAATTACAATTACAAGTTCTGTTTCTATTTTCAGAGCTCACTTGCAATGGTGAAGGTCAATGACCAGAATGTGTCATTGGAAGAGATGAAACATTTTGGTGCCCCAGTGAGACTGGTAACTCTTGTTCATCCGACAGACAAGTATTTGGCTACAGTAAATACTGACAACACTCTAGATATTTGTGATATAACAACAGGTGCTAAGGTAAGTTTAAACTGACATCAGTGAAGTTTGATATATCGGATGAAGGAGGACATGCCAGTTAGCAACCTTCAACTTAAAATAATTATTGATGGGAGTGTATTACAACAAAAACGACTGAAAGCTATGCTTGACAACAGCTTGGAAGTTAATTTTAGAATAACTACACGTGGTCTTTTGATTGACCAATGATGTTATAGTCTGTTCACAAAATTTAGGCAGTTTAAGGGGAAGGTTTCCTGGGTCCCCCACCACTTTATTTAACTTAATGTATACTTCAGCTGATCAGCTGCTGGCGGCTGTTAATTCATTGTTGGAGTGAGGTGGAGGGGATAGAATCGCTTCCCCTCAAACGGCCTAAATTTTGTGAACGACACACCAGCTGCATTACAAAGAGACTTTAAGACATTGAAGCCTATTATATGGGCGCTAACAGGGCTTATATGCATATATACCCTACTGGGCATTTTCGTATTACAGTAGACCCTTTCTTAACCAACCTCGTATTAAGCGATAATCGGATTATCCGCCTTCGATCGAAAAATATTACAGTTTGTTTTAACCAACCTTGCTTTGAGAGCAATTTTCTATAACCGCCTCTTTCTAGGAATCTTGGCATATCCGCTCCCACGCTGGGCTATGAGAACCGAACCATACGCTTATCTCCACAGGACTAAGAATAAGTTATTTTGTATTGATCACAAAAAATATAGCATATTGTCAGTTTGTCATCATCATTCGTAGCGTGAGCACATCTGATCTGAATTGTTATCTGTGCGGCAAATTTATAAAATCGTAAAGTGCATTACGCTTTTGAGAACTGATTATCTTGTCGCTAGAGTAAACAAACAACTCAACTTGTAGGGATGGCAGGGAAGGGGGGTTAACAACTCCAAGGTCAAGATAGTTTTTGTGCCTCGATCCTTCAGTGAGAGGCTTTAAATAAACATCCTGTCTCGTAACGAAATGGTTGCTTTGCTTGTATCTTTAATTTGGACAAAGGCTCTGTACTGTATTACAATGGATTTGGAAAGCATTAATTAATACATTACAAAAAGTTTAATACATTAAAGTTATTGAAATAATAATTTTGATCGACTCTTGCCTAGGACTATAATCTATTACACTGAAAGTAGGCCTATTTGACTTAACCGTGTTTTGTGTTTATTTGTGACTTGAGTATGACTTCAAAATAATGATTAATTCCAAATGAATAGCACTTCATTATGTTATGAATTTAGGAATTGCCCGTTTTAACCGACCTTTTGAGTTATCCGACCTAGGTCCGGTCCCATTAGGGTTGGTTAAGAGGGGGTCTACTGTAATCCAAAAAATTTTAACTTTTTTAGTTTAAATCAAAACACCACAAACCGTACATAATTTTAAAGAGGAAACCAAGAGCTTTAAAAAATAATAATATGTTATAGGGAAATTAAAAAAAAATTTAAAATAAAAAGCAATAAATATTCTATAAAGAAAAAAATAGCTACGTTATGACAGAGTTCATATAAAATTGACCCCAATGTTTTAATCTTTGTATGCATACATAAATGGATAAAACTAATCCTTATTACCAAATTAAATAAACATTTTTAAATATAATTTATATACCATATAGGCCTATTATTATTACTTAGGCTATACATAATATGTTTGCCATTTCAGAATAAAGTATTAAAAGTATTAAAGCAGAATACAGGGTGTTTTTAAAAGAATGCCGGGATTTTAAATGATAATTGTTTGGGTACTATTCAAGGTAACTAAACGTTTTATACGTCAAATTCAAGCTAAAATAAGTTGAAAGAAGTTGAACAAACCTAAATTGGTTACTTTATGATGTTATCTATAAAAGATAGAGTCTTTGTGCCGAAAAAGATTCAGTTAAGACATCAGATAAACCCCTCGATCGCCCTAAGCGTACATACTTTGCCAGTTTTACGCCCATATAAGATTGATGAAAATCTTAATTTTGCTAAATCATTCCGAATCGTATCAAAGAATGAGAAAATAACTTTATTCTTTTCCCTACAATTTGACATTTACCATTGGTTGTGTAAACCTCTTTAAATTCCAGATCTTTTTTAATTTTCTTTTCAAGAGTATTTAATCTTCTCAGAGCATTGTCATAGCTTGGGAGAAAATTAAATTTGTCCTTTTTCCATAAAAGACCAACTTCGTAATGATCTCCTCTTTTCTTTATGGTATCCTCAAGAATTGATACTCCACATTCTTCTTCTATGGACAATTTCACTAATTTCAGGTTATTTGATCTAGTTTCTCCTTATTTCTCTAATTCAAAGGATTTTTTTACCATGTCATGAAGCGAAGATTCTTCATATGAGAGTATGGTAAAATTCCCATTTACACAATCTCTAAATTGTGCACACTTTCAATGAAGAGTCCAACCAAGAAGGCACCATGACAGTACTGGGGTGTTAGTAGGACCTTCAATAATCTTACTGGTTAAAATTAGGTTGCAGGTGTCTTGGCCTATCAAGAGAGTGGGCCTGACACTCACTATTGAAAGAGGTTGAGTCTAGGTGAGGCCAGTTATTCCTCAATTTGACACTGTCTATTTGTTGTGTGGTCAGGGCTGGTTCTAGGAATTTTTCAGAGTTAAGCGAACACCCGAATCAGTGCCACCTAGAATCCCCCCCCCCAACCCACCCACCATGAACATAACTTAACCCTAATTGTTTTGGGAAGAACTTTTTTTAAGTTTAGGTTAGAATAATACTTGCAATACAAGAATTTTATTCACAGAAATTTAAAATGTTTACACTTTTACTCATCATATACACTTTAGCAAACCCCAAAGTTAACAATTTATTTCTAAATGTAAAATCAATTTTTACAGGATAACTTGGATAAGATATAAGTTTTTTTAAGCATATTACAATGAAAAACAGGTGTAGGTAGATGACAAGAGAGGAATTTTTAGATTAAACATGAAGAAAACATGAAAAACCGAATTGAAGTATTACCTTGACAAAAAGAATACAGAATGTTCAATTAAGAGTGCAATATAACGTACTGCTCTGCTCTAGGAGGGGAGAGTGATCAGGGGAAGAAGGGAGGGGGAAGTTTCTTGTTGTGAAAAGTGGCGCTGCGCGGTTATCTCGACCATGAGTCATGAAATAAAACCCACTTGCGCTGCGCTGTACGCTGCCGAGCATCAGCTTATACAAATCGAAACTGCAATCAATGCCTTGAGTTAAAGTGCTGTACAAGTATACACATTTTTCAAGTGCTGTTGATACAAACAGAATAAATGCCTTTGGTGTGGTGCTTTGGATACTTGAACTCTGAGCGAAAAAAACGAAATTAAGTTGTTCACTTGTCAGTAAAGTTGTTTCCAATTTTGTCTTCTGAAAAAAAATTGTGTCCCGTTGGCGCCACTTTTTCGTGGCGCCATATGCGACCGCGTAGTTCGCGTATGGGTTAAACCGTCCCTGGGTGTGGTAAGTCTAAAGTGGACTGAGTTCTAACCCCTTTCAATGTTAATATTTCATCTTCGTAAAATCCTTTTATTTTTAGATCTATTCTTTTTGATTGAGATTCAAAGTGTCTTGTGTTGTTAGACCAACATGTTGTCAAAGGAACAATCTCACCCTTGATACCAAGTTCATCGGCAATTGATGAATCCAGAAGCGATACAGTCGAGCCGTCGTCTAAAAGGGTATAAGTATCTACCTGAGACTTGGGACCATACAACGTGACAGGACACAAAGCAAAACACGGTTTCATATGTTATCTTCAAAATGATTACCGATTATTTCATCTCTAGATTTTAACTCTCCCTCATTTCTTTTCATTGGAGGTCGTTCAAGATTGGAGTTATGTAAGAGACAGTGATGGTGCAGCTTACAACCGTTTATACTACAAGCTATTTTAGATTTACAAAATTTAAGTTCATGTCGTTTGAAACATGAAAAGCATCTTTTTTTTCACCTACCATTTTCCACCTTTTGGAAATATCAGATTTCCGAAGGATAGAGCATTTGTCATTATCGTGCTTATCACCACAGTACACGCAGGTAAGTGGGCCAACTGTGGGAACTGTTGCTTTTGAAGAGTTGGTCAATACAGGTTTGAAGTCATTTTTTGTTTTCGTAATTTTTTCGTTTTTAGTCGGGACGTAATTTTTTTGATGAAAATAGATACTCATGATAGAACATTGTCTCTCCAACCAATCTGAAAAATCACTTAGGCTAGGTCTAGTTACACACATACTGCTCACATGTTGAGCTCAATGGTACTTCATTTGATAAGGCAATTTTCCGAACAGTTCACTGAGTAGTTGAGGGTTTGTCATGTAGTACTCCATATGAAGGGACTCAGCTGTAGAGGCAAAGTTAAGAATGGTTGTAGAACATTTGATGAGGCCTACAATATCGTCTTCTGTTACAGGGGCTAGCGTTCTAGTTTGGTTCATCATAGACTCAATGATAAACTCATGTTTACCGAAACGCATCTGTAACGTTTTCATTATGGCATGCAAGTTTTTACTGGAAACAAAAAGAGGTTTCATCATTTTGAAGGCTTCGCCTTCAAGACAGTTTCTAAGTTGAATTTGAAAGTTGAAAAATACTAGATTGTCATCATCAGAATGCAATTTTACGGTATTTTCAAATGCAGTAAAGAACATAGGCCACTCATCTGGTCTACCACTAAAGTTTGGTAGCTGTTGGCGGCAAAGAGAGGTTGGTTGAATAGGTTTTTTGACTGAATTTGCTAGCAATTGTGCAGCCGTGGTCATGGCGGTTGATGAACACTAATGAACTGTCGGTTCATTATCATTCAGCCACTTTATGACTTTACTCGCAGATTCTCTCTCCTCTCTCTGAGATATTAAGCTTCCATCCATTTCCTTCTCCAGCTGTTGTTGCTCCATTTCCTTCTCCAGCCGTTGTTGCTCCATTTCATTTTCCAGCTCCAGCCGTTGTAGCTCCAGCTCCTCCTCCATCAGTCTTTGTTTTTCCAGCTCCTTTTCTTCATTTTCT